TACTAGCCTAGAAGCTTCCACCATGTTTTCTGGGTCAAAGAACCAAATTATTATGAGGAAAGACATGTGAATATTTTATTCTAAAACAGAACACCCAGGAGTGATCTGCCTAACCACAGAATGCATTCCATATTCTACCAGAAAGTTTAAATCTTCAGTGCTATTAGGACAGAGATGTTAAGAATATGCATGCTATGGCAGGTACTAACAGTGTACTATAGGGATATATTTTAAATTAAGAACTTTAGAAAGTATGTATTTGAATTTAAACAGGTACCACAGTATTTTAGTAGAGGCATTTAAGGAACAGCATCTTGGTTTTTAAAAGATAGTCAAATGAACTGATTATTATAGTACTACTTGTGATAGCGGGTGTTAGGGGCAACCTTAGTGTCCATGACAAGGGGAGGGGTAAGCAAAATGTGCATCCAGATGTTAGAATAATACTACGTGATAGGCTGGATCAATGAATCAGATGTACACACGGCATATGGGTAAATCTTAAAACACATGGTAGAAAAAATATACATGATATATATTAAATTAGAAAATATAAAATGTTATTAAAATATTTAAGACATATAGATAAAAGCAAATGAGGTGTGTAGCATGGTACCATTTATGCAAATTGAAAATACAGAGAACATCACTACATTTTTTTCAATGTATATATCATCAGTGACATATAACGAACATTAATTACTGATTGCTTACAGAGAGGAAGGGAATGGGCCCGGGAAGAAGAGAAAACAAGGGAAGTTTTACATTTGGTGGTTGTATACAAAAGGCCAGGAAATGAGGGTTGTGACTACTTTAACCTATATTGAAGGGTTAAGAAAAAGGAGAGGAAGGGGCAAGGGAGGAGAGGGAGGAAAGATGAATAGATAAGCAGATCAACAAAGGATGAAGGCAAGTTAGGAATCCAGCTTAGAGCTTTGACTCCACACATTCATTTTTATCTTAGTTCTATTTTTACTTCATAGAGGCATCATATAATCACCAGTTTCAGAAACTTCTTTAACAGTGTGCCTTGATTAGAAGCCCAGGTTGTATTCTGAAAACATGCACTGAAAATAGTGCTTGTTGGCAGTAGAACTGAAGCCTTGAATTTAGTCCTATCAAAAATACTCCATTTTCTTTTCACAAATATATAGACCGGCAAAATATAAACAATGCAGAAATGAAGGAAATGAAAAGAAGAGTGTAGAGCTAGTAGCGGGAAGGCATTTATAATGTGACTCTTCCTCTCCCCCTCTCTGCCCTCCCACCCACTGAATTCAAGGGTTGGGAATTATTGCAAACTTCCTTCCTTTAGAACCCACCTCAAGAATTCTCCTGTCCCTTAACCTCAGTCAGACCAGTTAGGGAGGCACTGTGGTGGTTGGGGAAAAAGCCTTCAGGAGCCAGGGCTGGTGAATGAACTCCTAAACAAACTCTCCACTGACACATCACTAAAAATAAGTATGCTTACATGCATAACACATTTTTGGAACAGTAAACCGAACTCTCTCCTTTATCCTCTCTAGAGACTTATGTGTCATTTCTTACTCAACTTTATATAAAATAAAACACAGGTGCAACAACTCTGAGCCCTGCTGGTAGTAACTTTTGATGTGATAAATGCACATCTGCCAAGAAGTAAAGGAACTGCAGAGCGAGTGGACAGGCACTGTATATCAGCTGCAAGCCCAGATTCCGGTTAAACGCTGATAAGGCTCACTTGGGCATTGCCTTATTTAGTCAGGCTTCTCTGCCCTAGCACCGGTGAATGGTGACAACTGCGCATGCTATTACAAGTCTTTCTCCTTTCAGTCATCTGCTGACACACCAATTAAAAAAATTGTCTCCACTATTGAAACAACCAGTTGCCCTTCCTACTAGCAATTTTCTTATAAATAATGCTATTTCAAATCAAACACAAGGTTTCCTTGGCAAAGGAATTCTCATAAGGAATAACAAATTAAGTTCTAGTTCTTAAGAACCAATACTGAACAAATTATAATAATAAATTATTATTACCCTATTGGCTCAGGTAAAATGCACATTTTCTCCACTGACTACTATGATGACTATTTGTAACTGTATTTTTAAAATATATCTTAGAAACTAGTGACTTGATTTAGATCTGATTATACTATTAACACCACTAATACATGACTTTCTCACAAACACACTCACAGGTAGAGATATATAAACCCCATTGTACTTAACTTACTCTCTAAAAGTCCAGCGTGTGAGCCAGTATTAATTGCTTATAGAATGCAGACATTATGTACCAATAGGAATTAACTTCTAATATACATTCTTAATAACAACAAAAAAAAAGGGATGTAGGAAGTATGTATTCCAAGTTACAATCCTTTATCTGTGATTGCAAGATCTGAACAGCTTTTTAAAAACCAAAATTTCCTTTTTATAAATTTAATGGTAAATCTTGATAGTAACACCTGAATGCAACTGAAATGGGGCTATTTATAGTTTTAAAAAATCCCACTCAGTATAAATATTCAGTTTCCCTGGAGAATTAATGTGTTTGATTACTTGGTGCTGCTCAGACCCCCTGGAGATGTTATGTAATTTATACTATGTGTACCATATCGTTTTCCTAAGATTCACTTTTTTTTTCTAGTACTGGAGCTCTAACTCAGGACCTTGTGCTTGCAAGGCAGGCGCAGCGCCACTGAGCTACATCCCCGGCTTAGTAAGTTCTGAATTTTAAAACATAACTGGACCCAAAGATTTTGGCTAGTGATTGTGGACTTGTGGAATTTGACCACCTACATCAAAGAGGATAAAATGTGTAGCTGTGTGCATACATATATGAAAATACTAATAACATTTGCTATCTTCAAGGAGGGCAGCTGGTAAGCTCGAATGTGAGGGAGATGTATGCTCAGCCTACACCATCTTGTAACCATCAGATTTTGAACCATGAACATGAATCATCTTAAACAAAATCTAAACATTTTAAAAAATCACCACTTGTAAACATGTGGCAAGAGCATGATCTATTTAAAATACATCCATTTAACCATTTTCAGTAAGAAATGTACTCTAACAAGTCAGTGGATACCTTTGACCAGTCCTTCCTAGTCACCATAAATCCATTTCTTTCCACTCTCATTTTAAGCATACTCAAGTTTTTTCAAGGCAGCCCTCCCTTCCCTTAAAATACTCTATACAGTCCATTTCTTAAAAGAAAGGCTTTCCTCTCCCTAACCTTACCTACTGTTAGGTCAGCTACTTCTATAACTCTATAAAACACACATAATTCACTGCCAGATACTTGTGTAATGTTCTTGTCCTATCTTCATTACACTAGAAATTCATGGAAGGATAAAATGATCTGCCTTTAAAATTTTTACTTGGCACAGTTTTTCTTACATTGATGGCCAATTATAACGTGTGTGTATTTGGTCTTCTTAATGAGCCTTCCAGGGCCTGGCCAAATAGTAAGTGATATTTGCTAAACTGAATTAAGCTTATAAAATATAATCATTTCCTACAAAGGCTTTATAATAAAAAAAATCAAGCCAGGCTTCTGAAGACTCAAATATCACCTGTACTGACAGGTGGGTATGTACAAAAGAAAGCCCTGAGCTGACAGGAAGCTGCTTTCAATTTACAATTCCCAAGCACTCCTATGTGTATTTATGGTGAAGAAAACCCAGTTAGATTCTGGAGCTCTTGCATGAATATAAAATAGCCCAAGAAGAGTTACTCTGAGTTAAAAACTGTGTTTGTTTCCTGTAATGTTAACAAAAATATTATCTATTAATTGTTCAGAAGTCCTAATGAACATAAACTGAGTCAAAAATCTTTAAAAATTATGGGCTTCTAAATTTAGAAGTAACACAAATCCTTATCTTAAAATCTCTGAAATCACTTCAAAATGATTTTTAAATAGGTGATTAAATTCTATTAGTATCCATATGCAATTTAGCGATTAGTTAATTTAACTGGATTGGTATGCATAAGCAACTTAACAATCAGTTACTAATTTTTGCATTAGTGAACATATACAATAACAAATTTTTCAGTCTTTTTGTGAGGTAGTGAAAATTAAAAGGGGGGGTAGCTACTGAGCTACACCCCCAGTACTTTCCTTCCATTTCTTATTTATTTTGGAACAGGATCTTGCTAAATTGCCTAGGCTGGGCTTAAACCCATGATCTTCTGAGCAACCACCTTTGTATTTAAAATCATCGCAATCTTAACAAAAACAAAGTACATTTTCTCTTGGAAATTAACCTTACGAAAGACGTACACTTTTAAATGATGCCTATATTTACACAAACTAAAGACAAACATCTGCATAGTTTTCAATATAGATATGTTCTTATTGTTGCTGATAATCATATAGATTATTTTTTAAACCAGTAAAACGTTGGCAAAAATTTTAAATTGCTGTTCTCACTTCTCAGATGAGCAAACTAAGAACAGGAAAGTCACAGTTTATTGTATGTGTTCTTTCGGTGAGGTGAACAATTATTAAAAATAACTGGATGAACTTATAAAACAAAGCAGTATCACCTAATAAGTACCCAAGCCAAGGTCTGTGCCAAAGTCTAGAGAAGAGGGGGATGGGGGTAGGTGGAGGAGGCAGCCCCAGGAGGAGCTCGGCAGGGTCAGGTTTCATCCCCCCTCCCCCTCCGTGGGTCGTTAAGCCTCTAGCTGCCCTCTCCAGCAGAATTTCAGCTGTACAAGTACTTACGCCCTGCAGTTGGCTGTTTACATATAAATGCCTCACTCAAGGGCTGACTTAAAAAACCCGTTTCTTGAACACACACGGAGGCTCTCAACATCCATTATATGAGCCCAGTCAATAAATGACTTTAAGGTAAAAATGGTCACTGTAGAGTGGGACAACCACATGGCGAAGGATAGAGATGGGTGGTCTGGAAGGGGAGGAAGTGAGAAAGCTACGAAAAGGCAGCTAAGAGAGGGAGGCAAATGGGTGTAGAGGCCAAGAAAAAGCAAGAAGACAGGCACAGAGGAACTAACAGCTAAGAAAATGCTTTATTTACAAGGTGAAACAAAAACCAAGTTAAGCCCTTGGACAATCTCTGCAGAACATGTGCATCCTCCTTAGTAAATACTAAAGAGAGGGCATGAAGCCAGACTTTCACAATTTTAATGATAAGCCTAATGATTTTAATCACTAAAATCCTAATTTTAGTGATAATGACATGAATATCTTTGTTTAGCCATCTTAGCTAATACATATTTTAATGTGTAGAGCTGACATGGTATAAAAGTAACTCTCAAACCGTGTACTTCTTTTGTGGATGGAAACAAGATTTTACTGAAGTTTACTGCTGGGCAAGCATGGACGCACTCACCTATGATGTGAAGGGACTGGATGAGCGGCAGCACAGGCGTGGGTGAGGTGAGGGACCTGCTGTATCAACTCTGGGCAATGTCAGCTGACTAGTCCAAAGAGAGACAGCCACACTAAGACCTCAGGGCTCACACAAGCAATTCAACGTCTCTTGGGTCAGGGAAAGAATGTCTGAGCAAATGGAGCGACTATTCAGTGAAGCCCTATTTTAATTTCTGCACAGGATTAAAAGGAATCAACTATGGTGGCTCAACCTGTCTGCAGTCACAGCAATGACTGTATCCATCACAGACACACCACTGGCTGCAATCCGGTCCTCTTCAGAGGGAAGTGATAATGCAAAGCTGCCTAGCAAGAATGGCAGGATAGTCTAACAGATTAGTAATAGTAATTAAAACTATAATTTAAAAAAGGAGATGACACCAAAGATATTTATTTTAAAAATGCATAATAACCACAAACCTTCTCTGGTACACCAGGGTATATTCCAAGACAGTTCCAAGTCCCTCAATGTGCTGCTATTTCCTCATACTCTCTGCTTTGCTTAGAATAAGCTGTCCTCCATTTCTGCCTGCCCAAATCCTTCTCATGAGTCTAATCCTCTTCCCAGATGAAGCCTTTTCTGATGCTCCCACATGGATAAATCCCTTTCCCATTTTAAACTTTATCCAGTACTTACTTTGAGATTTTTTTTTAGTACCGGGGATGGAACTAGGGTCCTTGCACTTGCTAGGCAGGTGCAGGAACCACTGAGCTAAATCCCCGGGCCTTCCAGTGCTTAAAAGATCCTGAAAAACACAATGGATTCTATCCTGTCACTTACTCCTCACCTTGTTTCACAGTCATGGTAATTTCCCAGCTGGGAGTATCTTTTGCTCATTTGGGAACCCTCTGACCACCCAGGAGTGTTTACTCTCAGAAGCTTTCAGTGTGCATTAATAAAGGGAAATGGCCTTGGTCTCCCATGACTTGCCATACTACCCAGAAGGGGGCTGTGCCTATTAACATCCAGGTCCTCATTTTTAAATTAATTCTTCTGGTGTCATTGTGCAGATTACAAATTTACCCAACTGCACAGGGAGGAAGAATCTGGTTCAGTCATTACCCTGAGGCATAAATGGACACACTTAAGAAAGGATAAAACTAAAGATGTTTTAATAATCCTAAGGCAGACATTTCACTGTTTGCTTTTTAAAGCTCAAATAGAGAAAAAGTATAAGAAAATTTCCTCATACTTTAAAATCTGGCTATTTCTTCTGAACAGGTTGATTGCAACAATACAGGAAGAAATGCAGATGTGTAAGTAGGCAACCATGTGGAGAAGGGAAGTCCAATCAAATCCTGTTGAGGAAGGCAAACCGAAGGCAAAGGCACTGGTGCACAGCTCAAAGCTGTTTAAACATCCATAGCAGATGGCATGCAGAGGTGAACCAGACTGGCCTGAGTTTTAAAAAGGAAACCTCCATTATAAAAATCTATATAGCCATAGTCTGCACACACCCTGGAGCAGCCTTCAGAAACTTCAAATAGAGGTGTGGTCACATAAATTGCAGGCTGGGATTGTTTTAAAAATTTATATGCAGGGCCGGGGATTTAGCTCAGTGGTTCTGCAGTTTGCCTTGCAAGCGCAAGGACCCGAGTTCGATCCCCGGTACCAAAAAAAAAAAAAAATAATAAATTTTTTTGTATGCAATGTATTAGGAGAAAATCACACTGTATCACAATTTGGCTGGGAATCTCTACTTCTGAGAACGTATGTGTGCCAGCCTAGTTTCATAGCTCCCTACCTGGACACACATACTAGCTGAAACACACAAGCCTTTGATAATGCCTCAGAGGCATCTTCCTGTCCTTATATGTACCTAGTGCAGCAACACAACAACTTCACCACAAATCTCTTAATGTGCCCCATAACAGGAACAGGAGCTCCTAAGTGTCCAGCACCGGTCCAAACACATAAGACACATCAATACATCCAGCAAACTTTCTAACCTCGTGAGGGTCTATCACCTGCATTGTACATTTTTAACACACCCTGAGGAAGCTAAGACTTTGAGAGGTAAAGTCAATTGCTTGAAGCCACTCAGCTAAAAAGTGACAAAGGCACAATTTGAAGCTGCTCTGGCTCTCAAGTCTGTGCACTTCACCACCAGCCCATATGGCAGAAAGATTTCAAAATAATTTCCTAAATCTTTCTGGGCAAAAATCTGGCTGTTATGTTAAAAATGAATGGCTTCTCCTTTCTTCCTTCTGAATTTCTTGGTGATATAGCTCGCTTTCATTCTTCCCTAATTTTGGCAACCACAATTGAATTACAGTTGGCTCTTCATCTCTCCTCCCAGGACCAGACTGACCATAAGACAGGGCACTGTATCAGAGGTGAGACTATGGAACAGTGCCAGGCAAGTGCCACCACCTGTGAGATATTTCTGCTAGATATAATTGTCTGGAACCCATCATTAGAAAATTCTGGGGACACCCACCTTTCTCTCACTGGAAGCAGCCCCTGGAGAAGTGGGGACACCCTTGTGACACACATACCAGGGCACCCCTCCATCTCAGGGAACTCACACCTGGCTACCAAAACATAGCACAAGGCTCACTCTGGTCTGTCCTGGGGATTGCGGGGGGGCGACAACCCTGAAAAACTGAAGGAGTACATTTGAAGGTAGGCGTTGATGCAGCCTCTGGAACCCACAGCAACTACACAGAAGCAGCACAAGTGGCTGGAAGGGGAATCCTGTGAGTGAGCTCCCAAGCTCAGGGCCTGGGGACGTCTCTGTAACCTGACTTCTCCCCAGTGAAGATAAAGCTCCCCAGCTCCTGCTCCCTCTGTACCTCTTGGGCTGCTGAATGATTAAACAGATCACACAAACCTACCTTAGCCACCCCTCCAGCCTCAGTTCTAATAGGAGGAGGTATCCGAACCCTGTCCAGGTGGACGGGAGAGGAGCCAAGGCAAAGTCGGCCACAGCAAATGGAACAGGGCCAAAACGGTGAGCCTGGATGCACCTGCCCTGATTCACACTCCAGGAAGCCAAAGTGAGCACTGGACAAAAGCTCTACACCCAACTTTCTTCCCCCAGGAACTTCCTAAATAAATCTGTTTCATGTGTTGCCTGACTTCCATGTAGTTCTTAACCTTAAGCAGCATTCCTACTTGTTTCCATATTCATCTCTATCACTTGGTCACACATTTACTGGAGGATAGGGGCTGTATCTTTCTCATTTTGGTTTCTCCTAGGGCAGCTATTGAGCTTGACTTACATGGAGCAGGCATTTGGGAAATGCCGGTTGAAATGGTTACAAAATTTAACACTTATTTCTACTTCATTTTTACTAACTTTTTTTGACCCTCACAGTGGTCTGCTGAGAAGCTATCTCCGTCCTTGCCCTGTTTCGCAGATGGAGTATGACAAATGCAAAGGTCAAGCCATGTGGCAGTTGTGCTGACTATCTGGCTATGTGGCGTATGTGCTTCACCAGCAACTGGACACACTGCTTCTCTACGCCCTGACACTACATGAGGAGGAATGGGGACAGCATCTCCATTTTTACAGGGAAGACATGAATCTCTTAATTCTCTACATTTTCACCATATGGGTCCCTCTAACTGGAAATTCTCTCTACTTCTGGAAACTCCTTGTCCCCTCCAGGCTCTGCTTCACGTGTTCTCCTGAAAGTGTCTCTTAGTTCCTCCAGGTGGTTAAGGAGCCTCTTTTGGGCTCCTGTATACCGTATGGAGCCTTCGGCTGTATCACACCTCTTTCCATGTATTACCTGCTGGTTTCGTCCTCAATCTCTTGCTCCAGAATACGAGTCCCTAAGGGCAAGAGCTGTTTCTTCTCTTCACAGTATGCGGTGTGGAAGTATTTAACCATTGTTGGTAATAACAGTTTATTACGCCTTTATTAAGTGCTCCTATTGTGTTAGGGGTATGTACATGAACTTGATTTTAATTCTCCCAATCTCCTACAAGATAGGTGCCAACCGCCTTATTTTTTGGATGAGAAATGAAGTCTTAGAAGGTCTCAGACTACATGTGAATACAATTTCTTGCCTCAGCTCAGTCTAGTAAAGATCCCAGTCTTTCTAGCATCCCTGTTCCCAAACACAGGGCAGGTCCAATGACCTGGGCCCGAGTAGGATATGGACTCTCCTGCGGTTTGCCCTTGGTGGGTCTCTGGGGTTCTTCTTGATCTGGGCCCAGCCTGAGACCTGTGAAGGGAGTAGGTACAGTTTTAGGTCACGGGACAGCAGGTCAACTAAAAGTGCCCTCTCTCATCTTCTCATCTCACCCCACTCAGGCGCCACAGGAACTTGAGGTGGCCCAAGGAAATCAGTACTGCTCACCGTAAAGGACTTTCAGTAATGAACAATCACACCAAACAGAGTTATTTTTAAGGAAATTAAAACATATATATATATATATATACACGTAGCACTGAATTGATGAACTGTCAAGAACCTGATTAAATCTTAGTCTTACACTGCATATTCTAAATCTCTAAGGAAGAACACTAGCTCAAAGAAGCTAAATCAGTCAAAGCCAGGTATTTACAAACGGCCTACAAGGTCTTGACTTCTGTGCAAGATTCCATGCAAAGTATAAAACACTGATCTTTTTTATTAGCTACATAGTATGCATTAATAAGCATAAAGTAGGCCACTGGAAGTCTAAAAATGATCTATTCATGATAATCACTTTCCTACTATTGTAGAAGTAAACATTTTATTCTGGGTGGAATCCTCAGAGTTAGTTCTTTTTTTTTTTGTACCGGGGATCAAACTAGGGTCTTTGCACTTTCATAGCAGGTGGCGAAACCACTGAGCTAAATCCCTGGCCGTCAAGAGTAAGTTCTTTCAAAAAATGACTCTAACTTGCTTTAGATTTGTGCTTAATTTTTTTTTGGTACCTGGGATCAAACTTGGGTCCTTGCGCTTGTGCAGCAGGCAGCAAAACCACTGAGCTAAATCCCTGGCTCCTGTGCTTAATTTTTAAAAAAATCTTTTAGTAACTACTTTATAGCTCATTACTTTAGTATTCAGAAAATTATTTAGAATTTAAGTGAGCAGAATTTCATAATGGACGGGGTAAAGGAAAAAGTCTTGAAAATGTCATGAGATGATTTAGGAAAACAAAGCTTGTTTTAAGTTTCTAAAGTTCTTTATTATCTGTCTGGTGCATGGCCTAAAAGTATAACAACTTGCCTAAAAATTTCATTTTTCCTACCAAGAATTGCCTTTTCTTCCCCACCTTTACCAGCTTATTAAAGAATAATGAGCAAATAAAAGCTATATATACTTATGGTGTACAATGTGTTTTCATGTATGTATAACTTGTGGAATGATTAAATCAAGCTAATGAATGTAGCCAAGAAATCCCTTAACTAACTTCCATAGATTGAAAACAAACTTTTTATCTCTAGCTAATTGAAAGTCCTCATATAGTTCAAAAGTATAAAGTATGACTCAATGTAATCCATAATTTTTCAAGAGCAACTCATATCTGAACAGGCTACTGGTATGATATAAACAATTATAATTTCAATCCTTTTTTCATGATTTAGTGAAAAATATCTGTTCTTCTTTTCTTAGATAGCTGTTTTAGGAGTCTTAAGTAGCATGGTTGGTGAACCTGAGCATAATATGACACAACTAGTATCTTCTCAATTGAAAAATTAGTCTGCACAACAGAAACCCCTGCACCTCAGCAAGCACCCACATCGACCTGTTTCCTAACAGAGGGGTGGGTGGCTGATCAGATCTGGAAAGTCTGGAGTCCCCTCAAGCAGGGACCTGGAACCAACAAGGAGCTGCAGGAAGGCTAACAGCGCTCCAGGACAGCTCTGGGTGGCTACTTGAATTCTCTATTACAAGCCACAGAAGGTCAAACAGAGCAAACCCATTAGGAAATCCTAGGGACCAGGGGAAGAAAAGGTGTAGATGGCGCTGCAGAACATAAACACAATGAGATCCTCAGCTCCCCTTAGTTTTATTGCTAAACTAAAGTGCTTTTGGCAGAACTCCTCACTCACTCACTGTTCATCCTACCAGTGTCATGTAGCTAAAATACCCTCACGCACAGCCCTGAAAGTGTTTGGCATCTGAATTAGTGACTGCAAAGTTTTCACTCTTGAACTGGCAAGATGAGTGTCTTCATGTAGGCCATGTGCTCACTGTTTTGTTCCACTTTGCATAGGAAGAATAAAAAATGAAAAAATGCTCTTTGCAAGGCAAAGTCACACGTGTTTCTTTTTTTTATATACTTAAGTCAAAGAGAACAGGCAGCATGAAGAGTTAATTAAAACTGACTGCTATAGAGCAGACTGGATAGTGACGGCTATTCTATTCACTACACCTTAAATAAAACAGATTTGCTAATTTGATTAACTTTAGGTGGAATTATTAACTGAATTACACTTAAACCACAATCAAACCTTTTCGGGCATCTCATTTTCGTATAAAATAATTTCCTGCTTCATTATCTTTGCTTCTTCCTTAGTGATTCCTCTTCCCCGCCCCTCTACTCACTTTCCTCATAACTGTTTATTATAAATGTCAATGTGAATCTGATTTTTTTTTATTTCCTTAGGAAGCTCTTAAATGCTCAAGGCTTCACAGCTCCATTATTATAGGAATCTCATGTTATCTGTCTTGTTCCACCTTAAACGTCCAAGCATTTCAAGATTCATTATTTTCCTCCCCAAAAGGTCCCATCATTATTCACAATACCACAGGTACTCTTGGCTAACCGTATATCTATCCTTAGAGCTTCAACTCTTTTGCATACAACCAGGTGTATAAGATGAGGTTTTCCTTTATAAATTTCAAGGGTATAAGTCTCTGCCTGCATTGATTTATTCCTATCCTTGATGCCCTCTTCCTGTTCCCAGGTTCTGCTGCTTGCAATCCACCTTGCACATGGAAGATAAAACCATTCTCCTCCTATGTTGTTTTGCCCATGTTACTAACTTCCCCGGAACTCTGAAATGGTTTCCACTTGTGTGTTGTATTAACACCTGATTAGTGCTTTTAAGAGATCCTTTAGTAGCTAGGCACCTTGTATCTGTCCTCTTTTCTTGCCATGTCTCAGCTGTGCTCTCCACCATGACAAAGCAAAACACTGAGAGTCTTGGATCATACACACTGGCAGGGTAGCACATGAAATCCAGAAGGGTTGTGAGTACATTTTTACACACATATTTGACTGAGGCTTTTCAAACGAAGATGAAGCTCCAGAGTCTAAATCTGACAATAAGGCTGTATCTAATGTCTTTAGCCTCCCACTTCCTTTGCAATTTTTTTTTTTTTGCTACACACCACAGCATTAATTTTTAGATATTTTGGGAATAATACCACTACTGCTCTCTATGCATTTATAAACCTTCTGGATCATGTTTTTGCTGGTGGTAGGAAGAAAGCAAGAGGGAGATGTTTGCATGGGAGAGATTCATGTTTTCTGGTTCTAATGGCCACAAGAGTCATTCAGGACATCAAGAGATTAATCTGACTATGAGGCTCAAGCAGATCACGGGACAGTATCACCCACAGACACGGAGCAGGGGGGGGATCTTCACTGCCTTTCTGTATATTTCCCTCTCTTCAGGCTGTGAGTTATCAGATATGCTGTTCCTCCCCCACCTGGCAACACCTCTACCCCCCTCTCTGGCAAATCATCCCTCAGCTTCCCTTCAAAATGTGGCTCACTGATCAAATTCCTTATGAAGTCATTCCAGACCAACTACACCTGGCAAAGATGCACCAGCTACACCAGGGCCCCTGTGTTTATGTCATTTCTCTAATTTTCCTCCTTTTTGCCATTACTCATCATTTCTTAAGGGCCAATACACACACACACACAACACATACTTACTCACTCTTACACAGACACTGTTCTGGGGGAGGAGGATGATTGTTGTACTTCCTTGGTTGGCTTTTGCCTTCTTTTTCCCTTGAAATCTCCTTAAGATCTTATTATTGGATGCAGTGCAGGCTCTGTAACTCTGACAAATATAGCAACTGCACTTTAAAGAAAACTTTTGAAGAATAAAGTTTAATAACTGTACTTTAACTACAAAATTAATGTATTACTGATGATTTTGAAGCAGAAAGGAGAAAAACCTTAAACATGCTTTTCTTACCCTTGATTCTTTTTTCCCGTTTCCCTCCGCTCCCTTCAACCTTTCTTTCCTTCCTTATTTATATAAGCTTTGTTTCCATTTTTTTCCTTTTCCCTTCCTTCCCTCCCTTGTCTTATCCTTGTTTTCATTTGTGGAATTAAACATTAGCGATTGCTTAGTCTACAATCAGATTTCAGTAATTCCAACAATGGGCTGGGAAGTTATTCTGATCTACTGAAGGATAAGAAGAGTAACTTTTAAAAATGTTTTTACTGTCAACTTCACACTGTACTTTGAAAAGCCAAAAAATATTGCTAGGATGTGTGACCAACTAAATAGGAGTTGTTGGAGCTGCTTTATGAACAAGCCTATCGATTCATTTTTAATTCCTATAAGACCAGCCATTTGATATTACATAAATTGTCTTGAAACATTATGGAACAAGGCAGGCACCAGGCTGGCTGAACTGCTTTGCCCTATTATTTTTTTAACCTCTTTCTTATTTGTATGCGCCATCTCCACCACTCTAAGCTTCCCTTACTCCTTCAGGTCTTGGGCAGTTCGAAGTATGTTAAGTCTTTAATAGTACTTCTGAGGTGAGCAAGAATGATCAATATTCAAGTCATGCTCCTTGGTACTTCAAAACCGTTTTTAATTTTCATGTCCCTAACTATAATCTTGCTCCTAACAATACACAGTAGGGCTTTTTCCTTTTCAATCTACCACCTTCTGACTGCACACAAATCTTAAACTGGAAAAGTACATCTCATTTACTAAATGATTGTTACTGTTGGTAACAATCTGATAAGTTTCTTACTTCTTACCCCCATCACTTGTTTCATTGTGTCTGAAATAAATCACCCATATTCTAGGAATGAATTAACCTTTTTGCTACCCTAATAGGGCTATCAGAATGTTGGACACACAACATCTTAGACTCGCTTCTGTTCCTCATCCACATCCAGTCCACCAAGTCCTTCTAATTTTATCCCATGCCTCTACCACCACTGCCCTTGACTAGAGTCTTTCAAAATCTCCTCTACAGACCAATCTTGGCCCCACTTGAATCCCTCCTCCACTAAGTGGTCAGACTAT